TTAATCGCACATTTTTGCACCTTAGAGGAATATTTTTCAAGTTTTTAAGACTCTTATCATATGAGTGGACAAATATGCTTTATGCAAATGTTTAAATATATGTTATTATGTTAAAATAATTAGTGGCGTTAATTTTTTTTTGCGTTAACTTGACAGCCCTAGTAAATATACATTGATTGAGTGCAAGTGGTTTCTAGGAACCCTAATGGTTTCTAAGCTTGAAAAGCCTCAGCCCCATTTTGCTAGACCTGACCATTCTCTTGTTTTTTACAATCAGAAATAGAATCAGAAATACTTTGTTTATCCCGTGGGAAAATTGGGTTTTGTGATAGTTACTTAATTTTAAAATACAAAATAAATAATATATGAATAACATTGGAATTTAAAACACAAATGTAAAATAATATATTATGAAAATATGTATTTAAACAAAGTAAAAATGTGAAATAAAAAAGATAATATAAATGATATCAAAGATATTTATACAAACAGGGACATTGGCTTGATTTGAAGCATTTGATTAGAATTAAATTAAATCAAAATATGTATACAAGCATTAGAAATAGAAGAATAAATATGTGGATATTTTAATATATATGCAGTTAACAATGATAAGGCTGGAAAACTCCAAATGAACCGAGACACACATCTTACCTGCAGCATAATAATTATTGACTTAAAAAAACAACTAACGCTGACTTTCTAATGTTTTACCTGACGAGATTTAAACAAGAATCCCGTAAAATCTGTTCTCTACTTCCATGATATTTTGTGAAACATATTACTCATGTAAACATTTGAAATAAAAGGAAAAGGCAAATATAATATACAAATGTGTATAAAACATATGAAGTTAATGTTATGATGTGAAATTAATACAAAAATAGTACAATATTTATGTAAACCTAGGAATTTAATGTAAAATTCTTCACATAATTATATAAATAAGAGAAGTTCAAGTATAAATGTGAAATACAAGGATAAAATAAAGAAATAGAAAATACAAATATTTACATAAACATAAAGGTCCTTACACAACGGACCGATTTTGGCCGTCGATAGATGTGTGGCCGTCGATGAGCGTCCTGTCGCCCTTCTCAGATTGTTGTGTCCCGCACCGTTGTATCCTTTCTGCCGTGCCGACACTTTCCGCCGCTGTCGGTAAAAGGCAAAGGCCGTCGGCTAAAGAAATCACTCTGATTGGCTGTTCAGATAGCGAATCAGTGCATGAGAAGCGAAACGGAAGTGAGGGACCCAAAGAAACGATTAAGAAGGAACATCTGAGATTGAATTGAACTCCAGCTCTCGACTCAGGTTCGGGAAAGCCCCGTGAGCTTCTCGCTGTAGAGTGACAATGGAACGCACACGCTATTTGTTGTTTGTTTATATCACGCAGTCTGTTCTTCTTCTCTCGGTTATCACGCAGTCTGTCTTCTGGTTGTTGCCTCCTTTGAATGACGAATACACACTACCGCCACCTGCTGGTAAGGAGAGTTATTGCCACTCACGCATGCGCAGTCTGTTCTTCTTCTCTCAGTTATCACGCAGTCTGTCTTCTGGTTGTTGCCTCCTTTGAATGACGAATACACACTACCGCCCCCTGCTGGTAAGGAGAGTTATTGCCACTCACGCATGCGCAGTCTGTTCTTCTTCTCTCAGTTATCACGCAGTCTGTCTTCTGGTTGTTGCCTCCTTTGAATGACGAATACACACTACCGCCACCTGCTGACAAGGAGAGTTATTGCCACTCACGCATGCGCAGTCTGTTCTTCTTCTCTCAGTTATCACGCAGTCTGTCTTCTGGTTGTTGCCTCTTTTGAATGACGAATACACACTACCGCCCCCTGCTGACAAGGAGAGTTATTGCCACTCACGCATGCGCAGTTCGTACGTGCAACTTGGCCGTCGGCTGAAGTCTTTGCGTTGTGTTCCAGTGCGACACATGGACAAAACGCAGAGACGTGAGGCTTTGATGTCAAGTTTGGTGTGTAGGGGCCTTAAGACCTTTGCGTAAAAATGTGAATCAAAAGGATATAATAAAATATAAAAACAAAATGAGTTATAGGACAAATGTACGCATTGACCAATACATACAAAAGTACATATGAGAATCAGGATATTTCAGTATGCAGTGATAAGGCTGGAAAGTTAACAGAGACACACCTATTCCTACCTCACCTGCAGCATGAGATTTATTGACTTAAAAAACAAACTAACGCTGAATTTTTCATGTTTTACCTGACGAGTTTTAAACAAGAGCTAAAAATGCTTCCGTTATCTTCTTCCATGTTATTTCTCATGTAAAGTTGGCCGGTGCTCCAGGACTTTAATCGCACCAGATCCAGTGAGAGCAGCTGCTCATGTCGCCCACACAGGTTGTGCACAGCTTGTTTATGTAATAATAATACTTCACGCCTGTATATCACTAACACACCTTGTTATCTTGAATTCTTGAGCTAAAACTCTCATGGCACTACGAGAAGGAAGCATTTTAAAGAGGCCCTATCATGCTTTTTGGGGTGCTCTCTTTCCTGCAGTGTGTTCTGTAGGTGTTGGTGCATGTTAATGGTCTGCAAAGCCTAAAATTCCTGTCTGAAAAGTGTTGATAAATTGAAGTGTAGAATGGGCGCTGTGTGAAAGAAGTGTAAAACTACTGTATATAAAATAAAATAGATTACAAATTCTCCCCTAAACTCTTCTGCAATGTGCTTTTCTTTTGTTAAATGAGTGCCCCTTTATCGTTCTTTTCCTAATTCACCGTTTAAAAAAAAAGAAATATATATATTTTTCACCCGTGTGTGGATGTATGCAAAAAAACCTTTCGTTTCCTTCAAGAATTCACGTTAAAACCGGAGGAGTAATTGACAAATAACGCTTCTTGGGATTAAATGTTTCTTTTAAAAAGTAGGATTTTAGATAAAAAGCACTGATACAGGAGCAGTTAATCACGTTAGTCCTCCTCCTCTTCTGCGGTCTCTCCGGTTTGTTAATGTGCTAATGATGTGATGAGCAGCTTTTCAAATCAATAAATCACTACAATGTTATCTTTAAGGCTTTTTTGTAACAAGTGTTCTGCAGAGAGAAACTGGCAGACTCCACATACAGTTTTACACCGTGGTATTATTAACATTTGGCATGCAGATATCCAGAGGGAATGGATTGTAGCTCACATCTGGATGCAGAAGTTGTTTTAAATGCATTGAAAGTGGCCATCTGAGATTCCATTTTTTATATTCAGGTTACATTTGCTCTCAGATAAGAGGGGTAAGATTAGGATTTGTTCTTGTTGCTTCAGTTTTGGGGGCTTGTTTGTGCTATACAGACACTATCTAGGCCAGTGGTTCTCAACTGGTGGTTCGCGGACCCGTTTCGAGTGGGTCGCGGATGTGTGAGGGAAGAAATAAACCCTGCTGTGCATGCAGTCGGCGTTGGACTGGAAGTACCGGAGACCATAAACGGTTTTGAAAACATCTGTCACGTAGTGATCATCTTCACAATAAAACGTCTTTGCTGATGTTTTTTCGAGTCTTCTGGCCAATCAGAATCAAGAGTGTTGCCGGAAGTCCCCACGGAGAATAACTTTGAAGGTGGAGTAGGTAATTTTGGAGAAACCAGCTCGAGTGCGCTAAAATGTGAAAATATACAGCCGGAACATATCTGCCACTTCCTCACAGAGCCCCTCCTCCAACACACACGAACGCGCACATGACCAATGAGGGCACGAGATAAGTTTGTGCCCAGATGGAAGGCTGACAGGCAGGTAGGCCATCCAGTTACTTTAGCCGGGCCGGCTCAGATGATTGGTCGTGCTTTTTACAGCGCCACGGCTTCCACAGATGACATTTTGTATGGATTTTGGCATAAAATATTATTAATATGTCGGGTAGTAATATATATATATATATATATATTTCTTCTCAGAGTGTACCAGAATGCGTAGTTTATATGTTCGTATTTCTAAAAATCTGCTGGGGGAGAATCCCCCCAGACCCCCTGCTGGGGTTGGGTTTTCAGCATGTGTGCCTTTTTATATAGTTCAGCTTTGATTCCATCATCTCATTAAACCTTTTTTAAAAGCATACTTTAGTTCTGTGAAGAGATATAAGGGATATATGCGCTGTACTTCACTTTAATTAATATTGTATGCTGAAAAGCGTATATTACAGCACGATTTTTTGTTGAATAGATTTCAGTGCTTCAAAATGTTGGGTCATTCATTGACAAAGTAAAAAGTGGGTCCCGAGGCCTGACCAGTTGAGAACCACTGCTCTAGGCTGTATTCAATTATGCATTTGTGTTACTGAGCTTTCCCTTTGCACAGTGGACACATGCCTCCCTGGCTGGCTCTAAATGTGCCTCGTTAATGGCTGCTTGAAGTTTGTCTTGATATAAACTTGATTAAAACATGTGCTTCCCTACCAGAAGAACACATATTATTGGTATTTTATACTTGCAAATCCATCGATGAAGAGGTATAGGATGCATCGTATCGATATTGTGAGAAATAAGGAGCAACACATGGCAGAATAGTCCGTTTGATTCAGAAAGTCTTTATTGTCAATATAATCGTGCATATCAACGTTTTTGCAGGTTTTCCTAATTTCTCATCATTTTAATATAAACAACACACAGAGAAAACAGTGTTGATAACAGCATTAGCAGCAAAGCTAATTCTGTATAGAAACCAGTAGTTACATTTACGAAACATTTAAATGTAAAGATATAAAATGTACATAATTGGATAGTTATAAAAATATAAATTCATCTTTATATCAGGTGGTCTTTGTCCAAGTCCTTAGTGTGTGTGTGTGTTGGTTTGTGTGCGTGTGTGTGTGCGTGTGTGTGTGTACAATTATTATAAAGTCTTGGTTAGGCAGAGAGGAGCCAACTGTGTCTGCAAGAGCCGCCATCTTAATAATGAATACTAACTTATATTTCTCTAAATATCTGTCTAAGTTTCTGTCTTTCTTTTTTCCATCTCCCCCTCCTTCTCTCTGCAGGGGCGTTGTGTCATCACGGTTCAGCTCGCTGATGAAGAGCTGGCTGAGGATGAGGATGGCGTGGATTACTTCCTGCTGTTCGCTGGCAGCACACAGAGACACTTGACCAGCACCCTAAGGAGCAGCCATGACACCCTGCAGGCGCTGTGTCCCGGTAAGCTGACCCACCCAAAACGCTTGAAGCTTCGCTGTTACGGTCTTATATTTGCACATATATGTGTTAAAAAACAAAGTTTATATGGCCTGCGCTCCCAAGGTTTTATTCAGATGCTGGTTCCTAAAGTGAGAACACAACTGGGTAAAAAAGCTTTTAAATATACTGCCCCTTCTGCTTGGAATAAAGTACAGAAGGAGCTGAAACTGTCAGGTTTGATCACTATGGGGGAATTCAAGTCCATCTTAAAGGAACCATTGGTCGATGTGATTGCTCGTATATCCCATAATTGAAGTTGTTTTCAAATTGTGCCAGTTTTAATGTTTTACAATAGTTTCTTTTATTTGCATATATGGTTTATGTGCCATTTCATTTGTGTTTTACAGCTGAATTTGTCTGCCTGTATCAGGGTGTCCGCGGGGTCTTAAAAAGTATATATCAATTTAGCGAAAATGAAGGCTATTCAAAAGTATTAAATGGCATTTTCCAAGGTATTACATTTTGTAGCTTGTTTTCAATGAGTATATAAATTGTCCAAAGAGGTTGTATTCTAAAGTCTGCCTGAATGTAATCATTGCGTAGGTGTGTAGTGTGATTCTGTGTAGTTTATTTATGGCATCCCGTTGGACTTGACGTCATCTGAACAGGACATCGCACGCTCACTGCTTGATAGCGCGAAGCTCCGTTTACGCTGGTTGTTAAGCAACATCGTTATGGGGAAATGCAAGTCTGCGTCCAAATGGTTGGAAGATAAGGAGGAAGGACAATCAATACTGTATATAGTGAATGTGAGGTGAAGTGTGTCGCCAAGGTAACCGGTTAGAACTCGAAGTGGCGATGAGGTCTTAAAATGTATGGAAAGGGTCTTAAAAAAGGTCTTAAAAGGTTTTACATGTGACTTCAGGATTCCTGCATATACCCTGTGTCTTGTTTTGTGTTCATTTGTTGTAAATGTTGTTCATGCTGCCCTCTTGGCCAGGTCGCTCTTGAAAAATTGATTTGAATCTCAATGACACTTTTACCTGGTTAAGTAAAGGATATATAAATTACTCCCAATGCACCTGTGGGAAAGCAGCTCCACCTACAGTGATGGAGGCATGATGAATCTATTTTTAATCCTGCTGTCATGCATCAGAGAAAGATGTCTGGTCTGAGGATAGAAAGATGTCTGAAAGGTTTTCTTATCCATATAAATAATATCAACTTAAGGTTTTAATGGCAACAAAACAAAAACACTTTTAAACTGCAAGTGACTACAACAATGTATATTTATGAATTGTATACAGAAGAGGATTGGGGCCAGGTATCAAATATGTGTTGAGATCTGACCACGAGTGAATGTGTTTTTAAAGTTCTGAGATTAAAGTCTGAACTCTGAGGGAAAAAGTCTAGCTTGAATAGTCTTGTAAATTCAGAATGTAATCACTTTCCTGTAATGCAGCCTGTAAAACCAGTCAAATACAATCAATATATCTAAAATCTAAGACAATATGGAGTCTCATATCACAACCTGGGGGCAAATGCGTCAAAAGAAGTTAAAATAAAGGAAATATATTCTTAAAAAGCCCCAAAATAAAAACAGCAAGAACTGCTTTAGTTGTTAATTCTCTATAGCCATTATGTGCTATAGCTCAAACGAACATTACAGGGTGCTAAAGAATGCCAAAATATATTCAAAAAAATATATTTATGTTGAGGAAGGTGGTGGTGTGATTCTTCTTCCCATCCCACAGAAAGCATAGGGCATGGAGTTATTACAGCAGTGGAAGAAAGTCGAAAGTGATAAATCATTAATCATCCACCTCCACTGACCTGGCTTTAAAACCAATGTTGTGTGTTGGAGAGAAATCACCTCATTTTACTTTTTATGGAGCCCAGCTCGTTCATCATCTCTCCTCTTGGAGCTCATCCCATTTGTTCTATACTTGCCACATTTAAAATGTTCAGACAGCGCAGAAGTCGGAGATGCTTCCTGTGAGATGAATAAGCAGCAACAGTGAGTAAATGGGTCGTAGAAATACAGAATACTTGCAAACCTGTAATATAAATCAATGGTAGCAACATGGTCGGAAAGGCATTAAATATAAGCTACAGCACGGTCACATGACTTCACGTCACCACCGCTAAGCTAAATATGGCTAATGTTGGGCTATAGGAACTACAGCACGGCCACATGACTTCAGGTCACCACCGCTAAGCTAAAGGCGGCTAATGTTGGGCTATAAAGGAACTACATCACGGTCACATGACTTCACGTCACCACCGCTAAGCTAAAGGCGGCTAATGTTGGGCTATAAAGGAACTACATCACGGTCACATGACTTCACGTCACCACCGCTAAGCTAAAGGCGGCTAATGTTGGGCTATAAAGGAACTACAGCACGGCATGACTTCACGTCACCACCGCTAAGCCAAAGGTGGCTAATGTTGGGCTATAAAGGAACTACAGCACGGCCACATGACTTCACGTCACCACCGCTAAGCTAAAGGTGGCTAATGTTGGGCTATAAAGGAACTACATCACGGTCACATGACTTCACGTCACCACCGCTAAGCTAAAGGTGGCTAATGTTGGGCTATATAGGAACTACAGCACGGTCATATGACTTCACGTCACCACCGCTAAGCTAAAGGCGGCTAATGTTGGGCTATAAAGGAACTACAGCACGGCATGACTTCACGTCACCACCGCTAAGCCAAAGGTGGCTAATGTTGGGCTATAAAGGAACTACAGCACGGCCACATGACTTCACGTCACCACCGCTAAGCTAAAGGTGGCTAATGTTGGGCTATAAAGGAACTACATCACGGTCACATGACTTCACGTCACCACCGCTAAGCTAAAGGTGGCTAATGTTGGGCTATATAGGAACTACAGCACGGTCATATGACTTCACGTCACCACCGCTAAGCTAAAGGTGGCTAATGTTGGGCTATATAGGAACTACAGCACGGCCACATGACTTCACGTCACCACCGCTAAGCTAAAGGTGGCTAATGTTGGGCTATAAAGGAACTACAGCACGGCCACATGACTTCATGTCACCACTGCTAAGCTAAAGGCGGCTAATGTTGGGCTATAAAGGAACTACATCACGGTCACATGACTTCACGTCACCACCGCTAAGCTAAAGGCGGCTAATGTTGGGCTATAAAGGAACTACATCACGGTCACATGACTTCACGTCACCACCGCTAAGCTAAAGGCGGCTAATGTTGGGCTATAAAGGAACTACAGCACGGCCACATGACTTCATGTCACCACTGCTAAGCTACATTTGGCTAATGTTGGGCGTGATGACATTTAGTCGTCTCATTTAGACTCTTGATAGCATCAACCGTGTTGAATTCACCAGTGGGGGATTTACTGACATATTTGATGTCTTAGAACAAAACTTAAAAATCTCTTCACAGACCTTATTTCATGCTCACAACCACAAAAATACAATCAAAAACCAATTGATTTCCAGACCAGGGAACAGGAAGTGCTAAAATGCAGACTCATTTCCGAGTTTAGGAATCATCCTTGCACCAGTCTGTTAAGTGTCAGGATTTCAGTCGGTAAAAGAGAAGGTGGAACATGTTCAATTTGTTATCTTGTTAAGAGCTCGGCTGAATTACAGCCATCAGAGGGGGGGGGGGGGGGGGGGGGGGGTGGAGGAGGTGTTGCTCTCCACTCACAGATTAGCTCTGCTTCACCGCTCCCTCCATCAGTCCAGCTCAGGAGGAACGTCCTGTGACCAAGCACAAGGTCGTGGGATACAATTTCCAAATGGCATGGGAAAAATGGCTTCAGATACACCGAAACACTACTATGGACTGGAATGGGTGCCATTGAGCAAGGCATTTGCTCATTTTCAGGATCATACTTTACGTCCTTTTAGTATTTTGGGTTTCTACAAGAACAAGAGTACTAACCCTGGCTTCCGAGTGGTTTCCCTAAGAGATATAGTGCAATCTTGCAAAGGTAGTTATAGTAGCCTTTGGTTGAGATACTCAGATAGGGTGTACATTATTTAAATGAACCTGCACAATGTGTTGTGAAAAGTGTTTACAAATTAAAGTATTATGCTAAAATGTGCTAGCCGAAACTATCTAACAACAAAATAGCTTATGCCCAAAACACATTTATTTTAAACTCATGGAAGATGTAGCCATATACACAGACTGCTCCTATAGGATATAGATAATTTATTTGTGTATTGTGAAAAGTGTTTAAAAACTACAGTATATGCTAAATATAACTTCACAGTATCCTTGCTAGCTGAAAACAAGCTAACATCGACTAACGTGTGCTCATGCAACACAGGGACATAGCAACATCGCGTTAACTAGCTAACAACACAATTGCTTATTCCAAAACACATGTAACTTTATAAAAGGCACATTTTAAACACATGGAAGATGTAATCATATGCAGTACACAGACAGACTGATAGATGATAGCCAATGTATTTGTTTAAAACTACAGCATATTCTCCATGCTGTAACACCTCCTCCCAGTCTTTTTTCTCACCCTGTCTTGTTGTGTCCCCCCTTTTGTTGTCTCTTAGCCCACGACTGCTGCGAGGCGGTGTTTGTCACCCTGTGTTCAGCGGGCCGCGGCCCCCCCGAGGATCTGAACCCGGGTCATGTGACGCCGCTGGGCGAGCATCGATTCAGCTTCGTCCAGGATTTGGCTTTTGACATGGCCCAGTTCCTGGTGAGCATAAAGACCAAATCATTTCCAATGGAGCTGAAAAATAAGTCTCAAAGTCAACTTTATTGTCAATCTTTCAGTTTGTGTGCACAGAGATCGAAATACCGTTTCCCACAATCCCGAATACAAATATATATAAAAAGATGTATATATATGATTAGATTAGAATCTTTAATGACCACACAGCCAGGCTGCTGGAATTCGTGTTCAGTGCAGATTATTACATTATTACATAATAATTACATTATTATATCTCAATAGCAATCTTTATTTATTTATATAGCACATTTAAAACAACCTCAGTTGACCAAAAGTGCTGTACAGGCAGTAAATACAATATATAATAACACAATGGGAATACAAAATAATAATTAAAAACATGTAAAAATGTTATGTTCAACTAGTATTAAAAGCCAGTGCAAAGAGGTGAGTATACCTAAAACCTATATATACACAATCAACAGACATGTATATGCACACATTAAGACATAAATAAAGACACAACAATCAATATATACAAAATAACTTCAAAATCTTTGGGAAATGTACCTTAGTGCAACACTGTCCATATCTGGTGTTAAAGTCCAGTGGGGGCAGATAATAATATTAATAATAATAATAATAATAATAATAATAACTGCACAGACTGAGGCTTGTCGCAGAAAACAGCAATGTGGGAAAAGTGACAGAAAGACAGAAGACGGCCGTGTTTCTGTTCCTTCTCTGACGAGCCTTGATGTTTCGCAGTCCTCTGTGTTCAATTAAGGAATTCTTCTCAGCGTGATTTATCATCCCAGAGAAATGTAATATACAATATGCTCTGCCAAGGAGGAGGACAAGATAACGAAACCGTCTAAGAATTACCCTTATTTTAATGATAAGACTTTGAGTTATATGCTCATGGTTGTCACATCTAGCCTCTACTCCAACAATGAAACACCTGAGCACATACTACAGTTTAAAAAAAGCAGAACTAAAATCTGAGCTGACAGGAAACGTTTTAGTTTAATACACAAAGTTCTGAATTAAAAACAGAACAAAGTGAAAACCATAAAGCAGATTCAGGCGTATAGATTCACACTTAAAGTCATCCGTTAAACTCCCAATTCTGGGCATGTGTTTAATATGGCGCGTTTCCACTCGCTTTAAGTGTGCCGAGCCGTGCGGGGCCCATTTTTGGTTGCGTTTCCACTTGGCGTAGTTCCGGCTAGCGGGTCCTATTTCACGGTTTTTCTGGCCCCATAAAATCGAGGTTCTTTCCGGGCCAACAACAACCAGGCTGAGTCGGGCTGAGTATGCTAAACTAGAGAGAGGATCGCTGGCAAGGGGGCTACAACTACAACAAGATGAACATATTTGACCGTGATGTAATTGTAATACACGTTTCAAAATGATGCCGAATTAACAACATACTGATACCGGTTAGTAAAAACCATGAGTTAATGCTTTGACAAGTCTGCAGACAGACGGCAGGCATGTTTTCTAAATGGAGATCGGCTAAGCTAACGCAGTATATGCTCCGACCGTCCACGCTCACAACGGCCTACAGACATAAATAAAGCAGCGACTGTATTCTCCATGACACAGACAGTCTGTGGTTTGTACTTGTTTAACTTCTGTCTAGTTTCTGAACAGATATGAGGAGCTGTGAGCTTGAGTGCTAACAGCTAACTGCTGATGTTGGTTTTCTGGGGTTCTCATTGAAGATGACGTCACGGCTCCGCCTACAAATGTCTCTCAGAGGGGCGTGGGGAGGGGCTCCTTATTTTCATCTGAAGTAACAGACAGAGAATCAGCACTTTGGAAACAGGGCTGAAACAGAGGGGATTATGGGTAATGCTGCAATGATCTGTTTGTTGTTTCAGCCAATCAGAGACAGGTTCTGGATATATCTGAGACCTGTGATATATTGATGAGAAACAGTATAATAGGAGACCTTTTTAAAGTGTTTTAGGGAAAAATGCCTAACCTCCTCCTTAAACTCATATTCCTGTCCCCCTCCCCCAGGTGAGCACCGCGGGGCGCTCTGACGGCCTCGATGGCGCTCTGCTGCTGGACGAGTGTCAGATTCCCCTGCAGGAGTGTGAGCGTCTGGACGAGAGCCTGGAGCTGGCTCTGCACCACCTGCTCCTGCCGCCAGGGTGGAGCTTACTGGGCAACAAACTCTCCAACAGCACTGGTGAGCTTCTGGCACCATGTAATTCACTCACACAGGAAAACGTCCAAGAGTCAGACCGAGTGTTAAACATGGCGGCACATTATAGTTCAGGGCATAATGACACACCTCTCTGTGTGTGTTTGTTGTATCAGAAAGATATGACACAGCATTTCCAAGATGTTATTGTCCTGGATAAATGGGATAGATCTGGTCAAATATTATTCAAATAATATATGTTTTTTTAAGATGAAAACACCTAATTCAATTGTATTTCAGTTTTTTTATTTTTTTATCTTATATCAACATTTTATTGATAATTCAGCATTTTATCATCAGCACTTTTTTGTATTGAGTGTAGTATAGACAAACTAACTAATAAAAAAACGACAACAAAAAACGTTACATTAGGTAGGAAGGTAGGAAGGAAGGAAACAAGGAAGGATGTAGGTAGATAGGTAGGGACGGAAGGAATTTAGGAAGGAATGTAGGATGGTAGTTGGTAAGTAAGGTCTCATGTCTGCAGACAGCACTTTGGGTTCTGAGAAACAGCGATCCCAGTGCAAACAAACATACATTTTCTCAAACCAGTGAGTCCGACGACTTTAATCAGTTAAAGGAATCCAAAGGATCTGATGTGATGATGAACTCTGCGGGTAATTGCTCTCTGGAAAGCAGCATGAACAAGACTTTAGGGAGTCGTTACTGCTGCCTCTGGCTTCTGTAAAGATAACATCTCACGGTTTAACTTAGACTTGGATATTACATCGAACCAGCAAAACCAGCAGGATTTCCCCCCAAAAAACATGAAAACCGAGCAAGTCTGCAGTTAAAGCTCTCGCACTGCTTAACATGTTTTATTCACAGTTGTTTTGGAGCCTGAAAGGGAAAGTCGTCAAAACAAGTTTTCATTAAATGACCTCCCTGCCGATTAGATCTACTTGGTACTGTTGTGAAGAGGGTTTTTAAAGACACACACACACACACACACACACACACACACACACACACACACACACACACACACACACACACACACACACACACACACACACACACACACACACACACACACACACACACACAATGCAGTTCCTCCCTATGTTAGTAATTACCACCAATACTTGTTTAAACACACATTAGCTCCATGTTAACACATATTCTACCATTCACACTCTCTCACACACACACACACACACACACACACACACACACACACACACACACACACACACCACACACACACACACACACACACACACACACACACACACAGTCAGTTGTCATGTTGTTGATGTGGAAGGCGGCCTCCTGCAGCAGCGGTGAGTGATGTGAGCTCTAATAGGCTCTGCCTCTCGATGTGTCACCGCTTCAACACAAGACGTTGTGTCGCAGAGCTTCAGGGAGGGAAGAGGAGTGAGACGCTGCTCTCCATTTATCAGATCTGTCGGATGATGGATGGCGGAGGACTATAGGTGGAGGTGGCGGTGGTTTATCTCCGTCATCCCTCACAATGTGGACACGCTGCAGTCACTGATCTCACAAAAGCCGGCCATTTATTGAGCTAGGGGGGAAATCACTTCATCTGGAACCAGCGAGCCAATGGAAGGAGTGGAAACGCTCGGCTGAACAAAAAAAGAATAATAATGAAATGAAACATGAGAATTATTATACTATACAAACTTAAGCAGTTTCACAATGACAAAAATTACATTTATACAAATTATCTATTTAATTACACATCTGTAAGTGTACACTTATTTAATCCCACCCCTTCTCCCAAAAACTCAATTATTAACATACTGTATACATATATATGTTTTTCTTCTTAAAAAAATACATTTTTTTTATTGAAAAACAAACAAACAAAAACATTAAAACAACACATAAATAAACAAACAAAAACGCGTTAAATGGTAATCAAGAAAAGATAAAATGACAAACCAAATAAATAAACCATATTTATGTTGTGATTAAACTATTTCATCCCTATATCAAAATATAAAAGTAACCTGATTACTTTCTGTTACTTTTAGATTACCTCCATATCAAAATATGCAGCGTTAATAAAATAGAGAATAGAAATATCAATGAGATGTTTTTTACTGAAGCGCATTATGTAAGACAGCAGAACAATGAGACCGTAGGGAAGAAGAAAAAACAAGATATTTAGGTTCGAAAATGTGTCGTTTTTTAATCAGATTAAGTCTTTTTTAATTGAACTCTAACCCCTAGTTTCCACCGGGTCCGTCTGCGGCGCGTTACGGGCGCGTTGCGGCTGCGCCGCGGCGTCCGCAAGGATCGCGGTCCACTCTAGTCAATGGGTGCTATTCCACCAGACGCGCCGCGTTACGGCTCAGAAGCGTCCCAGAAGCGTCTCGCCGCTTGGCTCCGCTCGAAATAGGATTGAAGTCTATTTTTCGACGCGACGCAGCCGTAAGGTAATGTCGGGCAGGAAGTGGAACGGTGACAGCATCCGGCCCACCCCCCATCCCTCCTCTGTAGTCTTTCCAGTAGGAGAATAAAGGCCAGCGTTCTCCTTCGGTTTACAGGCACTGTGTGTCAATTATATAGAATCATTATGATGATGAATGCATTTTATTTACCACTAAAATACAGCAACCCATCTTTGATTCATGTCGTTTTTAACTGGACTATTACAATTATTATGAATTATGTCTGCAGTCTACAACACAACAAAATAGGAAATAGCAACAATAAACACGATTTAAACAGACACAAAAATAAACCATTTAACTACGTAGCTACTTACTTTCTTGTAGAAGTACAAATGTCCAGGAAATATGCCCAAATCAACAAGAACTGCGAGCCGGCATGCACGACGCTCCGCTTCCGTAATGCTTCTGAAACGCTCGTGAAACGCGCCCGGTAGGGTATGACGCCGGAGGAGGCCGGACCAAAACCGCGGCGCAGCCGTAACGCGCCGCAGACGGACCCGGTGGAAACTAGGGGTAAGGGAATACAGCTACTTTTTGTTGTACCCTGATTAGTTAATCCTGTTACCTGTAATGTGCTCAAACCTGCTGCTAATGAACTGGTGTTCAAACACTGGGTGAAATAATCTGTTATTTCTCATTACTATCCTGATACTAATAGACTAATTGATCTGCAGTCTCAAACCAATGCGAGCTGTAAAATCCGTTTAACTTTAATGTCCCAATTATTTACAAAATAAGACCCACTTAGCTTTAACGTTTGACTTAGCTTCCATGTCCTAAAAGTCTAAATAAACCTGTATTTCTTTCTACTTTTCAGCAGGGTAATTAAAAGTAACCCTGTTTCAAACATTATTTATTCCCCCAGTTAAACATTGTTTCAATACAGCATGACTTTTATTTCGTAAAATGATGTTCACATTTAGAGTAAAATAGAATCCACTTCACATGAGTGAGCATCCGTGTGGATGTTAGCCTTTGCAGACCATTGACATGCACACAAACCTATATAACACACTACAGGATAGGGACAACAAAGAAAGAGCATAGGGTTTGAACTGAATATATTGGGGGATTTATCTGAGCAAATAAACATTTAAAGACCTTATCTTGGACTTAAAGGAATCAGCATATTAACCAATTACTACAATTTGTTTTAGTTGCAGCCTACTTTTCACATTTAAGGATTCAAGGAGGAAGGAAACCTTTAATAGATAATGAAAGTAGTTATTTGATCCCAAAGAAAGAAATACCATTTGATAAAGGCAGTGAAACTAAGCTATGATGTCTGCCAAAAAGCAGTGGAGCTGTGATTCCTGTTCTGCAGCAAAAAGCTATAACTACATATTTATCCCAGCTGACCCCCACCCAGTCCAAACGGGAAAAGTACTCCTATGGAAACATGTCACAGTAGAGACACACATTAGAGAGCCCCTTAAAGTCACAGGCTTCTCCAACAATGCATTATACGTAAAACATATTAAGAAGAAATACATAAACTGGTGCAAGTGACACATTGGGGCAGGTAAAAATGCACGAATAAGTCAACTTTGTACTTACTAAGAAAAAAAACAAATATAAAATTAAATACCGTACAGTAGAACAAAAATACTGCTTATTGACATCATATATAAATATATGTACAGATGTATGTGCTAAAAACAAATGAAGGCGAAGAGACTTTACAGAGCTCAGTTTTAGGCATTTTAAAAATGATTTTCAACTAACGAACAAACTCTGCACATGCACAGTAAATCACAGACAAGAGAAATATATATCTGCGTTCAGTATCCGACTGAAATGCCATGTATTTTCCCTCTCAAATAAATACCAGCTTTTTGTGCGTGTGGACACCAGAGGAAAAACAGTGCAGAGACGAATGGCGGCCGAACAGTAAAACCCAGTCTTTGTCATAACAGTGAAGACATGTGGACTCTGTACTGGCTGTAGATGTTTTATCTTTCTCATTCCTGCACTTTCTGCTGTTCTAAATAACCGAGAGCAGCTGCAGTCTGAACTGACTCTGCATTAAAACACATCTGCTCCTGAAGCGGAGACGTTTCACACCAACACACCATTTAGAGACCCCTAAAACAACACTGCTCTTATCTTTTATATCACCCGTTTCAACTTAAACGTAATTACTGCATAACAAATCTAGACTAGACCTCTGTTAGATTTGTTGTTGACTTCTCTACTTACTTATCCCAAAGGTTTCATTTTAAAACATAAAACATCTTGTAATTTTAACCAAGGTAACGGAGAGTTTATATTGAGTTTCCTGGAGTGGCAGAGTTTTACAGTTTTCTCCCAAAAACCATCATTAATTGAATGCCTTAGTCTGCTTTTTGTGGTTATTCTTTGGCTCCTGATTGTGTGTGTGTGTGTGTGTGTGTGTGGCCTAGCATTACTATACTTGTGGGGACCTAAATCTGTTTACACAGTCACGTGTGGGGACTCGCCTCCCTTATGGGGACAAAATGGAGGTCCCCATGAGGGGTATCATTAATTTTAGGGTGAAGACTTGATTAGGGTTAGGGTACGGGTTAGGCTAAGGTTAAGGGTAAGGGTTAGGGTTAGGCATGTGTTGGTTATGGTTAAGGTTAGGATAAGTCTCTAGGAAATGCATGTAAGTCAATGTAATGTCCCCTGAAGTGATGTATGCATGGTATGTGTGTGTGTCCATTATTGTCTTTATGGATGTGCAAAGGCAGGGGGTTTCAGTATTAGGTGGTGTTATAAGGAGTTGGTTTGATAAATGGGGCAAATAATGGACTAAAACTTAATTTAGTCATATGCATAATTATTATTGTTGTAACTGTGGCAGTTTTATCAGAAATGAGATGCTGCTTAAGAGGATTTTACTAACTGAAACACAAAATATCGACATACACAAATTGCCATTTTTCAAAACACTGCAGATTGCCATGTTTGTTTTAATCCAAAAATACAGTATTTACTTCCAAGTATGTTGGTTTATTCATTGTTAAGTGTTACAAAAGCTGTGGGTAAAACAATAAGAAAAGAATAACAAGATGTCTTGAGTCACAAAGATAGATTCAGGTGCTTTTACCTACAAAAGAATAGTGAAAATAACAACATTAATTGGTCGTCCACAACAAAAACAGTAAGTAACTTAAAAATAGGGAACATATTCTGATTTAGAAATACCACATTTTTTGTTATTTTGACACAATTAACACTTCCATGTCTTGTTACATAAGAATAGATCATATTTGTTATTATGTGAGAATGACTATTCTTGTGGTACTACCAGGGCCCCGGGCCAGAAGGGGGCCCCGGGCCAGAAGGTAGATTAAGAAGGTCCACAGCAACGACAACATGAAACACCCTCTAATTTACTGCAACAACATGTCGGGAAACCCCTCTCAAGGGGGGGGGGGGGGGGGGCCCAGTGAATGTTTGCCTAGGGCCCCCACAGACTCTAGAATCGGCACTGGGTACTACTGCCTTATTAGACCCATATTGAACATGTACCACAACTTCCTTACAATAAATAAGCACTAATTAGAGGGTTATTGAGGAAAAACTCTCAACTAATGGCTTCTTACTTGTAGAATATGGTCATGTAGAATAAGGCATTACTAAGTGTTTAATAATGACTAACAAAGAGCCAATATACTGCTAATATGCATGTTAATTAACAACTAGTTGATAGTGAATATGTGTACCTTTTAATATAAAGTGTTATCCAGTATTTACTTCCAAGTATGTACAACTTAACTTCATTGTTAAGTGTTACAAAAGCTGTGGGTCAGAAATAACAAGATGTCTTGAGTCACAAAGATACATTTAGATGCTTTTACCTACAAAAGAAAATTGAGAAAATAACAAAATGAATTGGTCGTCCACAACAAAAACAGCACGATAAAAGTTGTTATTATGTACAGTTTGCTAAATATTAGGCATAAAGAGATAAAGTGGTGTTTGTAAAGGTCTGTGGAGTCACTGTGGACCCTGCTCTGGTTTAATTAGACATCACTGCATGTTGCCGAGCTGCAGCAGGCCTGGTATGTCGGATTCTGAACCACAAATCGTGTCGCCGAGACTGCTGCCCTTTCTGCTGTCTCCCTCTTTAATGAGTCTGTACTTTTGTATTTATCTCTGCATTCTTGTCCTCGTCCTCAGACCTGGATCCTCAGGAGACTCTGCTCCACTTCTCCGCTCGTCGGGGTCTTTATCGGGTCACACACTTCCTTCTGCAGCAACCTGGAGCGAGAGAAGCTCTGCGATTGGTCAACAGACAAGGCCACACCCCCTCCGCTGTTGCAGAGCTGAGAGGAAACGAACGCCTCGTCGAGCTCCTCAAACAGTAAGGACTTTCTGTATAACAGGCAGAGGATGTGTGTATTTTTGTATATATGATGTACATTGATATAACATAGTGGTTTTAAAGTTTAGGCATGTTTAAATATCAAAACATAGGGAAGATGATATGACAACTCTGATTCTACTCTGAGTTTCAGTGGACGTTACCCTACTGTATGCACTTTCTGTATTAGTCCAGCAGATATGTGAGTGAATTGGGCTTTTGATGATACAAACATGAACTGTCACTGTTAGAGCGTGCCTAAGGAAGATGTGTGGCTATAAGGCCATCGCATATTTGTCCAATGGCGCCATTAGTTGTTATTTTACCAGTAGCTTGGGATCTAGACCACCTAGGGTCTGGATTCTGGTCGCTAATCCTGCACTTTCAAGGATGAGGAATGCAGTGGTACTATTTACAACATGCTATAATGTAGCTTCATGTATCTGGTATTCAGGGAACAGAATACACAGTAAAACCATTACAATATGTATTATGTATGTAATACATGTTACATAATATATATGTAATATTACAGGTTTTTAACTAAATGCTGAGTTAGTTCTGAAAACACGTCCATTTCAGTATATATTATATAACAGTCAAAAGATGTGTGCATTATATAAAACTGTGAATGTACTCAGTGGACGTTGCCCTACTTTATGTACAAACAGTGTGAAGAGATATGGATTTTTGAAAGATAATGCATGTACGTTGTTGTTGTTTTTTTTGTTGTCATTAGCAATTCAATGACACACAAACAATGTCAAACTGATGAATGAACTTCAATTCATCTATATGTAATACTTTAATTGTTTTGATTGTCTCTGTTTGCTTTAGTGGATGTGCACTGTCTGGTTTGCACTTAATAATTATATATAAATCCTCACAGGTAATTAAAAAACTAAACTTTCTTTCAACTTTATAACCCAGAAACTGAGCATAATAGGGCCCCTTTAATAGATAGCGGTCACACCATGATACAAGACCTACTCTAACGAAGTGTAGACAACAAACAACAAGTGTCAACAACACACACACTTCTCTGTTGGCAGAAGATTATCTGGAAATGTACGTGGCTCACTGCCGATTAATTATCTACATGCGGCTCTTAGGGGACACTTGTGTGTTGTGTTCAGGGAACCACAATGCCCATGGTCGTATGGCAGGTAGATCCACTATGATGATTAACAACCCCATCAAATGTGTATCTTGGAATGTAAAAGGAGTTAATAACCCAAATAAAAGGCAGAGGGTTATCTCCCACTTGCAACAACTAAAGGTTGACATAGCTTTCTTACAAGAAACTCATCTGTGTAATATAGTTTTTTATGGTCTCAAACTAAACTGGTTGGTCAAGTGTTTCATTCCACGTTCAATGCAAAAGCTCGAGGAACAGCCATATTGATGAACTAGAACATCTCTTTCCATTCGAAGGGAAGTATTAGTGACCCTAGTGGAAGATGTATTATTGTGATTGGGCAGCTTTTTGCAAACCCGGTGATTTTAGTAAATGTTTATGCCCACATGACAGTACAGTTTTTGAGAAACTATTCTTTAAAATACCAAGGATTGACAATGGACATTGCATATGTTTTTTCCCTTTATATTTTCTTAGCCTCCTTGCACTAATTTAATAATGAACAATACTGTATTGCATGCAGCCTCTCTTAGCACGTTCACCTGCAGACAGATAGTTGTGGGGAGTTGGTAAACAGAGAGACGTGAAACTATTCAGAAACACAAAAGCCTTAACATTTAACAACCTATTAATGTGTCATACTCACTTAACGGGAAGAAACTCATCTAACTGACGATGTGAACCACTTTTAGCTAGACGAAACACAAGGGTAATACCAAGCCTCTGAATTAGCCCTGAGCGATAACATGCTAACGCACTTAGCACAGAACTCACGGTAGAAATACTTTATTACTCATTTTTATTTATTTTTAATTAAAAATGTATTTATAGAAGGACCATGCATACAGAAACATGAATCTCAGCAAAGAGAAGAGATGCAATATGCCAGATTATAGCTAATAGCTAATTTCCATCTGTGGTCCTCAGGCAGGTTCATAACAATCAATACACAATTAATAACATTGCATGATCTCTATCAGTCAAACAATTGGATCTGCACAAACAAGATATCATATGAAAGCTGAGATTCCACAGATTCTAGAGGTATAAGTATCATCACTGTGCGACCAAGACTCAGGGCAGCGGAGGCAAACCCAGACAACACACGACGTAGCTTTACGGAGCCAAAACGGCAAATATGTCTTACCTTTGCTGTTTTCTGATCAAAGGTTGTGTTCGATGGCATTAAAACGATAACAACGCTACCGAAGGTTAATCCATAGTTTAATCCAATGTGTCTGTCACTTTGAAATGATTACTGATAGTCCATCATAACATTTTTGTAAAAAACTGAGATTTCATATTAGCTGCTATTAGAGCTACAACCCAGCTTCCGGTTTTGGGCAAACTGTGTGCGCATCACTCTCACTCGTCAATGGAAATGCTTGGATGGATTTAGGAACTTCCCCTCGATTCTCTTGGCTCTAACGGTTCAAAAGAGGTGTCAATCATCAAAATCGACCGAGGGGGGCCAACGATATGGAAAATCCACCCAAATGACCCCAGAAGTGTTTTTATTTTTCTAAACCTCTCTAGTACCTCATTCACACCAACGGTGTTTCAGGGCCGGTTCGGAGCTGGAGCTTGAAAAGCACCGAGTTTTCCTCTTCACACCGCAGCGGAGCAGCCTCTTAGCTGGTTTGTTTCAAGCACCAAAAAATTGTCCGGCTGGAGCAAAAGCACCGCATACGTCACGCTTACGTCGAGGCGGGGGCAGAGACAGATCAACTCCTGAACAACAACAACAAGCCCGCGTTTTATCCAGTTTGTACACAACGATGGAGAAACTTAACAAGAGTTTCAGTGTTTCTGCCATAGACTGTATATATAAAGGTTTCTGCTCATGGTGAAGCAACGTGTCTGCGTGTTAAGGTGGAACCTGAGCATTCACGTTGATCACCTCTCAGTATAAATCTATAAAACTATAAATATTAAACTTTACTTCACATGTTCATTTGAGAACAGCTGTTACATACCTGGGTGAAGGTTACAGTTCATTTAAATGAAAGATCATGGTTCAGTCCACCTTAAGAAATAAGACTGACCTCGGAAGCAGTTGTGTTTTAAAAAAACCTTTATTGACACGAGTACACTTTTTTATAAGAATATAACTAAACCACAGAAATGACTCCGGAAAAGCTGCAGATAGAGCCATAAGAAATGAATGCAACTGATTTCATCCGCGCGGTTTGGCTTTATGAAGCAGGCACGCAAACGGTTACGTCATGACGCAAACGATGACGCAACGACGCATTACCAGCAGATTACCAGTCGGACTCTGGGCGGTGTGAAAAGAGCCAGAGCTAAACCGAAGAACTGGTTCTGAACCTGAAAAGCTCTAGCACGGATTTTGAACCGAAGATGCGTTGGTGTGAATGAGGTATTCAAAAGCTAACATTTAACTTGTTTTGCATCAATCTTGATACAGGGTACTTATTATATGTTATAGTTTGGATTCCTAAAGCTTTTAGTCTACTATCCCATAGGGCTGCTCAATTATTCGTATTTTAATCGCAATTACGATTATGGCTTGCAACGATTACGAAAACAACGTAATTGAAATAAAACGATTATCTTTTTATTATTACTTTTTTATTTTTTTTTTTAAATTGGTTTTTCAGTTGAATTAAACTTAAAGTTCAGGGTTATCAACTGTTCAAATCATACTGTTCACATTTTCTTTCTCCAATAAATTGATGTTTTCAAAGTAAATGGATAATCGTTTTTAATAATCGTGATATCAATTATTGACCCAAATAATCGAGATTATGATTTTTGCCATAATCGAGCAGCCCTACTGTCCCATCATTCAAGGGTGGTTTTCACTATAAGTAATGTTTTTTTTTGGACGGACACTATAATTAAAATGTTGTTACTATGTTCAATCTGAATTTACTTTAAAATAAAAACAATTCTATATTGATTCTGACTTTCCTACATCCAACTCACAGGTTTATCATTGCTTTGAGAAAAAAGATTATTAATGTACCCTTTTAGAGGTGAAGATATGGTCATTTGTTCTGGGAATGTCATTTTCGGGGCTTAACTGGTTAACAATGCCTTCTTTCTGACTCAGATTCTTCACCTCCCTTTCCAGTGAAACATTAAGGGGAGAGAAAAACAGCTGACATAAAAACACGGCTTCAAGTGGAAATAGACCCTTTTTATGTCTTTTAAGCACTCTACAGAATAGGTTTCACTTAACTGAAAATGAAGATGCCACAAGCTGAAAGACAACTACCACTTAGTGAGCGCGCTCGTTGCCCAGCGTGCACTGAAGCTGCTTTATGACTCCCTCTTTATGTGTTAGTAATTACATCTCCCTCATGAGAAGTGAAGTCACTCGCAGCCTGGCTGGTGACCTCAGCTCTCAGGGCCTCGCGGCGAAAGCAATCCACCCAGGATTACGCAAGCAGAGCTGCCTGACTGGGAGGTGTCTCCCCTTTACTGCACCGTCTTTATGAACTGCACATACTTCCACCTTAGACGAAGGCAGCAGGGGGAGTGAGGGTTTCTCAGAAAGCTTATTGAGAAGGAGTGGTTTTAAAGTAGTGTTTTACGACAGGAGAGGAAAGTTCTGGTTGACTTGCCGCTGTGCCTGGAATTTTTGTTGGATTGATTACCAGCTAGAATAAACCTATAGATTTGACCAATGGATTAACCCTTACCACCTCTGGAGGAAAAACAACAATACACATGGATTATCAGAAGAAAAGGGGCTGACATCACCGTTAAAACCTTCTAAGAAAAGCTTATGAGAAGGAGTGGTCCTAAAGTGGAGTGTTTTACGACAGGAAAGGAAAGTAGCATATGTGCGCCTTGTTTTGTACTTGACAGCGCCTGATTGATTGATTACCAGCTCGAATAAACCTCAGGAATTGATTGATGGACTTACCCTTATCAACTCTGGAGGAAAAACAAAGATACATGTGGATTATCAGAAGAAAGGGGGCTGACATTGCTGTTGAAACCGTCTCAGAAAAGCTTATGAGAAGGAGTGGTCTTAAAGTTGAGTGTTTTACGACAGGAGAGGAAAGTCACAGTTCTGGTTAACTTTTCTTGTAGTTGACAGCAACCCTGATTGATTGATTACCAGCTGGAATAAACCTCAGGAATTGACTGATGGACTTACCCTTATCAACTCTGGAGGAAAACTACAACTCACGTGGATTATCAGAAGAAGAAGAAGGGCTGACATTGCTGTTAAAACCTTCTAAGAAAAGCTCATCGAGTAGGAGTGGTCTTAAAGTTGAGTGTTTTACGACAGGAAAAGGAAAGTAGCATCTTCACTTGACAGCGACCCTGATGGATTGACTACCAGCTAGAATAAACCTCAGGATTTGACCAATGGACTAACCCTAACCCTAACCCACTCAAAACACAAGCAATGCGTGTGGATTATCAAAAGAAAGGATGTTTTTTTCACCATTTAACAGTTGTTGCTGTAATCACTCTTCAGGCTGTTCGGGATGATCTAAGTGTTTATTTCCAACAGGGCTGAGACGGACAGAGACACTGAGAGCATCCAGCCGGTGTGCACGGACGCACGGGTAGTCTGCCACCTCCCCAGGCTGAACACACACACCCTGACGCTAAGGATACACCCCGGCCTCGACCCCCCGACCCTCCAGAGGAGCGTGGAGCAGCTGCTGCACCTGAAACACCATCTCAAGGTGAGTCCCAGCACCCTGCCAGAGGTGTACAGTAACTGAACCATCTTAAGCTACTGTGTACTTCTACTCCACTACAGTTCAGAGGTACATGGTGTACTTTTCCTCCACTACATGTATTTAATACCTTTAGTTAATTCACAGATGTGGATGAATGATATATAATGAAATGAAATATAACCAAGTGTTGAATCAGACTTTAGTTCCACCTGGAGTAAATCCACCAGCTACCCTGCAGTATACAAAGTACTTCAAACTAGCTGCACCTTTACCAGCTTTGAGAACACTTTCATGATCAATCATTATAAAACATATCATATATATTATTCTGAAATGGACCAATCTGCACAACGACTACTTTTACTGTCGCTACTCTCATTATATTTTGATGAGAATACTTTTCTACTTTTACTTGAGGAACATTTTGAATGCAGGACTTTTACTGTAACAGAGTATTCCTACACTCTGGTACTTCTACTTTCACTCAAGTACAAGATCTGAGTACTTCTACTTTACTAAAGTACAAGATCTGAGTACTTCTACTTTTACTCAAGTACAAGATCTGAGTACTTCTACTTTTACTCAAGTACAAGATCTGAGTACTTCTACTTTTACTCAAGTACAAGGTCTGAGTACTTCTACTTTTACTCAAGTACAAGATCTGAGTACTTCTACTTTTACTCAAGTACAAGATCTGAGTACTTCTACTTTTTCAAGAACAAGATCTGAGTACTTCTACTTTTACTCAAGTACAAGATCTGAGTACTTCTACTTTTACTCAAGTACAAGATCTGAGTACTTCTACTTTTACTCAAGTACAAGGTCTGAGTACTTCTACTTTTACTCAAGTACAAGATCTGAGTACTTCTACTTTTACTCAAGTACAAGATCTGAGTACTTCTACTTTTTCAAGAACAAGATCTGAGTACTTCTACTTTTACTCAAGTACAAGGTCTGAGTACTTCTACTTTTACTCAAGTACAAGATCTGAGTACTTCTACTTTTACTCAAGTACAAGATCTGAGTACTTCTACTTTTACTCAAGTACAAGATCTGAGTACTTCTACTTTTTCAAGAACAAGACCTGAGTACTTCTACTTTTACTCAAGTACAAGATCTGAGTACTTCTACTTTTACTCAAGTACAAGATCTGAGTACTTCTACTTTTACTCAAGTACAATATCTGAGTACTTCTACTTTTACTCAAGAGCTGAGTACTTCTACTTTTACTAAATACCAGATCTGAGTACTTCTACTTTTACTAAATACCAGATCTGAGTACTTTCCCCCTCTGCACCCTGCCCTTTTTTACCACTCTCTCTCCACTCACTTTAGGAGCTTTGCTGCTGCTAAACATTGTGAGATTGTTTGTCTTTTCTCTGCCCTCATTTGTTTTAACCTTCAAGCTGAGTTTGTATAACCGGTGGAACACCTTATGCAATCACAGAGTTGGCGGTTGATAAGAACTCGAGAGCTGTTGGTTTCTCCGACGGGGAAAGCTAACATTTATTCTGCTTCTCTTCTGTATTCTGCAGGGGGTTTCGGTACTGGAGCTGCACTTTGATTCTCTGCACACAGCAGCTGAATGTTGTGATGGTGTGGAGGAGATAACCTGTCAGGAGCGACTACAGCTGTCGGAGAGCTCGGATACAACAAGCTGGGTGGAAAGCTGCTCCGTGGAAAGCAGCAGCAGTGTTGATTGTGGACATGGTGAGACTGGGAGTGCTGAGAGAGACTTGGGTTTGTCTCTAAGCGCTTCAACGTCAGACACACGGCCTCAGGAGCATGGCCTCGGACCCCGGGTGTGTCCACGTTCAAACACTGAGAGAGATTACTGCCAACCGGAGCAGGAGGGAAGAGGGCAGCCTGTGGTTCCCACCCAGAGTTTGAGCAGTGAAGCAGCAGCAGAAGAGGATAGCCTCACTGTGGGAATCTTTCTACCACCAACTGAAGGCAGTGATAAACAGGCGGAGGAAACTGATAAAGACGAGGCTGCGATCTGGGAAGGACAGGAGGTCGAGGAGGGAAAGGACAGATCAGAGCAGGAAGCAGAGGAAAGCACAGTTAGAAAGAGGGAGGAGGACACGGAGTCAACAGATCCCATAACGCCCTGTGGAGACGCAAAAACCTCAATCATGGGCCAGTCGCCGTCGTCAGAGGGCTCCGAGGTTTCTGACGCCTCTGACTCTGAAATTAAAGAGTGCTGTGAGGAAGGAGGGACTAATGGGGACGTCTCTTTAGAGCAGGAAGGGTTAACAGAGCTTGACCCCAGTCCAACACTGATAGACGGCGCTGATGTAATCAAGGAGCCTCAATCTGCTCTCTCGATAGAAGGCCTCCACGAGGGGGAACCTCCACCAGACACGAACAGCCTGGAACAAAACCAGGAAACAGCTGGTCGGGATTACGCTACAGAGCAGCAGCAGGCAACAGAAACAGGTTGTCATTCTGGGAGTGTGACGGCAAGCGAAGGAGAGGTAGACGATGAAGTCGTTCCTTCCGGATGCAGCGCGGAAAGTTTGTCAATGGACGATCCTGAGGACACCGCTAATTGCGTGGCTCCTGCTAACTCCATGGAGGATTTACGAGCTGATCCATCACCCGACCTCATCCCCAGCTCCAGTGACACACACGCTGATCGAGATCCAGAGATGAGCCGTGGCATCTCCAGCGATGACGATGATGGTAGTTTCCGATCGGTGGGAAGCTCCACAACGGATATATTCCACCCGTCTCAGGATGATGCTAGTGTGGGGGATCAGGGCACAGTCCAGAGTGCTGTAGAAGGTGTTTCCTCAACAGGGTTAAAGATGGAGGATGATTCAAGAGAAGGCGAAAGCAATGGACCAACCGTGGGTGAGACGGACACTTTGACATTAACGGACTGCAGCCACACTGAGCCAGAATCACAACCCAACTTCCAGACAAAGGAGGCGTTGAATCCTGAGGGAGACGTAGAGCAACTTGCTGCAGAACTTTCCAAAGTGGATCTATTATTGTGTGAAAGTGGAGACGCTCCGATGACGGTTGAAGACGCCGAGACTGAGCATTTTGCATCAGAGGACGCCAGCAGTGTTTTATTTATTATATCTCCTGCAGAAGAAAGTGAAGCAATTAGCTCAAATGACACCAGTGAAGCATCTGCAGCTGGAAAGAGTGGAGACGTGGAATCGGGGCGACCCAAACAGGATAATTCAGCGGATGAAAGGTCACCTGATGAGGGATTAAGGCACTCAGAGGATCAGATCGATGCGTCTTTATCCGACGGTGTCACTCCGCTGAGCAATGAAGCATCCGGCGGACCTGATGCTGAGACTCTCGACTCATTGGACGGAGGACCACAAAGCCCCAGCGGTGCACTTCAAGGTGGGCGAACACTTCAGGTCTATTCTAGTTTCACTCACCCACATACATCACAGGGCAACACGTTTGTCAAAGTCTTATTTCTAAACAAAATGCTTAATCAGATCCAGTCCTGTGTTGGTGATTAATGGCAACATCTCTGCAAAGCTTAAAGCAATGCATCTTGCTATAATAGCCCTCACAGAGGCTTTTGAGCCACATCCTGTGATATATTACTGTTGTCAATACATCTTAGCTTAGGTTGTTTACCTGTTTTGTGCTAATTGTCTTTCTAATGAGGATTTAGCATGGTTGTATTAAATAAGGGGGTATTTAGGGGTTCATCAAAGAAACACAACAAAATGAGACATTAGCACAATCATGTTGCTACTTCAGTTCATGCAAGTACACTGGAGTACTTATGGCGCATTTCCACTGCAGCGGGTAGCCCCGTTTAAGCGTCCTTAACCGTCCTCAAGCGGCCAGGCCAGTTTTTGGTGGCCTTTCCATATAGCCTAGTACCGGCTAGCGGGTGCTTTTCCCCTCTTTTTCCGGCCCCATAAAATCGTGGTTCCCTCAGACCAGGGCCAGGGCTGAACTAGTGACGTCAACACTCTCGACTGCTGATTGGTCAGAGAGAATCGTCACAAGATCGCGCGCGAGTTCATCCCTAGCGTCGCATATATATTTAGAAGCAAGCTTGCAGCATTAAACAGCATTTTGTAAACGGATGAGCTACAAAAATGGCTACGTCTAATAAGAAAAGCACACCGTGGTCGACCGAGGAGGTGACGACGTTCCTACGTCTCATTGGGGATGATAACATCCAGCGGGAGCTCGACGGAACAACTCGAAATGTGAACAAAAACAAAGCCGATCGCCCCGCCTACACTGCGTTGCTACCCCAGGTCCTAAACTGTAATGGAAATGCGCCACGGCCTCGGCCGGCCAGCGAGGCAGCCCGAGGCCTGAGCGAGGACGCTTAGGGACGCTTAAACGGGGCTACCCCGCTGCAGTGGAAACGCGCCATTAGAGTCTTCAGCCATGTATTATTTGTTTTCTATTGCTGTTGTGAAGACACATTTTCTTATGATTTCTTTGACTGTGTTGGTGCTTATTGTCTCTCTAATGAAGATACATGAATGATTTCGGGTTAGCCAGAAAAACAAAAGGAGACATTAGCACATTGATTTAGCCACTTCAGTTCATGCATGGCCACTGGAATACTCAGTGATGGTTTCATATGAGGCGTTTCTACGTTTGATACCTTAGGACACGTATTATACGGTTCTTGTGAAGAGAGGGATTGTTACTGTTTTGGTGGATATTTTCTTTTTATTGAGGATTTGAGGATTAAGGATTAGGGTTACTGCAAAACAAAAATGCAACATCACCACAATCATGTTTCCACTGAAGTTCATGCAGGGATACTTCGTGACGTGTTTCATAACAGGAAATAACAAGGCGTTTTATATCTTTGATACCTTAGGCCACGTACTTTATAGATTATATTGCTGTTTTGTTTCTGCTTGCCTAGAGGTCTTTCAGTTGTGGTGCTTATCGTCTTTCTAATGAGCATTTCAGGTTAGGGTTACTCAACAAATCGGACATTACCACAATCATTTTGCCAAATCAGTTCAGAGGACAACGGATTACTTAGTGACAGGTTTTGTAACAGTAATAATGAGGCGTATATCTTCAATGCCTTAAGCCATGTATTATATATAATATGTTGCTGTTGTGAAGATATGTTTGTACTGTTTTGATGATAGTAGTCTTTGTAATGAGGATTTGAGGATGAGCGTTTAGGGTTAGGGTTAACCAACTGACGTTAGCACCATCATTTTTCCATTTCAGTTCATAAGAGGACAACGGGTTACTCAGTGAAATGTTTTGTAACAGTAATAACAAGGCGTATAATCTTCAATACCTTAGGCCATGTATTATATAAGGACTAGGGGTTAGGGTTAACCAACAAAGGTGACGTTAGCACCAGTTTTCCATTTCAGTTCATAAAAGGACACTGGGATACTTACTGACGTCTTTCATAGCATGAAATAACGAGGCGTTTTATATCTTTTGTACCTTAAGGCCATGACAACATTTCCCTTGATATCATATGTTCTCTGTTAGTCTTTGCACTCTCTGGCTTCAGCACACTGTATGTCAGCAAACACAGTCACGTTACCAGAGCATGTGACATGCAGGGCTGGAGGCTGGCTTCCCCAAAAACAAACACTCAGGCCAGCTGATGTGAGCGCAGAGCAGGAAGGGAGGCCTCTCCTCTGTCAGTGAAACTCCAGCACTCCTCTGTCGGCAATTTGCACTCATCAGGAGTAATTGTGCTACACCCAAGTCCAATACAGAGAGGTCAAGGGCAAGGCTGTGCGTCAGAGAGAGAGAGAGAGACGGGGTGTCATTGTGAACGAGGGGAGATATTTACAGCCTAGCTTCAGGTATCATCGTAGATCAAGCTTTCTCTTGTTTCAGGGTTAAACAGGGGTGTCACAGCAGGATGGATGACGTCAGTGATATTTAAAACATGACATATTGATAAACTGTAAACAATGCACACATGATAATATTAGGTAACTATGTTTTGTTCGCTTTTGCACAGTCAGACTCTCTCACCACTTCCCTACACTTGCATTTGAGTTGAATACAAAGACATAACATAGACCTACATTAAACAGAAGTGCCTTTATGAAAGCAAGATTTATTCGTAAAGAAACTCTCAACACTCAAGTTTACTGTTAATATGGCGGGAAGTATCTTAAGTGTTTGTAAAAGTCTTGCAGTTAAGGTAAAGCTAAACTGAAATACAAAACAAAAGAATTATATTATAATTAATTAAAACATTCCTTAGAAATGATCAACTTTTGAATTGCCACTATCCCAACATCCCAAACAATGATCAATAAACTAGAATGGCATTTAAGAGGCGCAGACCTTCACCAAGACCAGTGATGCATTCAAGTGCTCCTCAAATGGTCCTTTCCCCAGAGTTGGGAAGTTCTTCTCCAGCAGTGATGCATTTAAGAGCTTTTGGTCTTAATTTGGAAATAACACAGATACTACAAATTAGATGTGTTTAATTGTTCAGAGTATTTAATCAGGACATTGCTATTAACTGTTTCTGACATCAGGGGGCGTTAATGTGAAACACATTTTTACGATTATGCAGACATCATTTGATTGGCTTATCTTACAAAAGTGAAAACTAATTAGTTTATCCGCCCGTGATTCAGATCTGCTTCAAAATGGAATGGGTTCTTTCTTGACCCACGCCACACCCTCCCACCAAGTTTCATGTAAATAGAGTCAGTAGGTTTTACGTAATCATCGAACTATTTCCAAAGATAGGTCACAAAGATGCATTTGGACAGACTTTTGTCAATACTTATTGTGAAGGAAACATTTTGTGACCGCTATAGTACATGCTTGTGTAAATGGGGATGAGATATTATAAATGAAAATTAAGTAACATGTTTAAATATTGAACCCTAACTAAGTCAAGTTGGAAATAAAGGTTTGAATATTCAATCTGGATTCTGCTTAAAAACTCAAAGTCCGTTTTCTTTCGAGGCATTTCTGAGATTTGTTCACTTCCTCCACATTTATCAAGTCATATTCACTTAAAACAGGCTTTCTAGATACCTCTTGAATCCATCAGAGGTAATTATACAGCAGCATCAATGTGCCGTTCAGATTCTGTGTTTATAATGAAAGAATGATGAATTAATGTACATGCTAATGGTTATAGCTCCTTTGGGAACGGTTTCTTTAGGGACGTTTTAGCACAGACACAAGCTGCTCCAGTCCAACTCCTCCGCAACTCTTCATTGATTCCTACATTTGGGGCATTTGTTCTGGACTGATTGCATTGTGTTGTGTGCATTTCTCCAGAGGGCGAAGTCATCGTGTCTGAAGAAGCTGTTGTTGCTGCAGGAGAGGAAGATGATGTTCGCTCAGAGGAAACACACAGCTCTACGGTAAGCCTGTTTGTCTTCTGATATCCAACTGTGCTCTGTAGGTTTGATTAACAGGAGGGTTCGATGAGTCACTGTTTGCAAAAGTCTTTGAAACGCCCAAAATAACCTTTCGCACGGAGAGGCGGAGACCAAACGGCCAAGTAAACTCTGGATTATTACATGAGCTGAGGTACAATGGGACGGGAAGTTGAATAGACATTTTCCTCCTCATTTTGTCTCGTCAAACACCGGTCAGTCTTTCAGAATCAGAATGACTTTATATGTCCCAATAATCTACACAATTACAACAGCAGAAGTAGTGCAGATAAAGACAATAGACATATCAACAAATACAAAGAACTAAGTAAGGCAAGGCACGTTTCTTTATACAGCACAAGGGAATTCAAAGTGCTTTACAAAATAAAAGACATTAAGAAATAGTGCATTTGAAACACATTATAAAATGGCATTTAAAAGCAGTTATTAAAAAGCAAAGAAACAAACAAAATACAAGACTATTACTATTTGGCCTTTAAACCATTTGTGTTTTCAATTCCCAGAATTAGGATATTTAAACCTGCTTTTAGATTTTCCGGCATTCATAAAAGTTACAGTGCAGAGTAAGATATGAATAGTTCAATTAAAAGCAGTGACACGAATACATGTCTTCAGCCTGGGTTATGAAGTATGCACACGTTATTAATACCAAAAAACACACCACTGTAAGTACACAAATAAATAGCAGATAAGTACACCATGGTCCAAAAAGGAGCAGTATATTTGTGTTAACATTGCATCACTTGCTGCTGCATTGCAATGCCATGAATGGGATTGTGTGTCTTATTTATTTACGAACCACAAAAAAAACGAATGATAGCAAGATTTATTCTGTCCTGCATCCAAGAAACATTTTGGATCCAGGACTTTTCTGTTATCTGAGTACTTCTACTTTTACTCAAGTACAAGATCTGAGTACTTCTACTTTTACTCAAGTACAAGATCTGAGTACTTCTACTTTTACTCAAGTACAAGATCTGAGTACTTCTACTTTTACTCAAGTACCAGATCTGAATACTTCTACTTTTACTCAAGTACAAGATCTGAGTACTTCTACTTTTACTCAAGAACAATATCTGAGTTATTCTACTTTTACTCAAGTACAAGATCTGAGTACTTCTACTTTTACTCAAGTACAAGATCTGAGTACTTCTACTTTTACTCAAGTACAAGATCTGAGTACTTCTACTTTTACTCAAGTACAAGATCTGAGTACTTCTACTTTTACTCAAGTACCAGATCTGATTACTTCTACTTTTACTCAAGTACAAGATCTGAGTACTTCTACTTTTACTCAAGAACAATATCTGAGTACTTCTACTTTTACTCAAGTACAAGATCTGAGTACTTCTACTTTTACTCAAGTACAAGATCTGAGTTATTATACTTTTACTCAAGTACAAGATCTGAGTACTTCTACTTTTACTCAAGTACAAGATCTGAGTACTTCTACTTTTACACAAGAACAAGATCTGAGTACTTCTACTTTTACTCAAGTACAATATCTGAGTTATTCTACTTTTACTCAAGTACAAGATCTGAGTTATTATACTTTTACTCAAGTACAAGATCTGAGTACTTCTACTTTTACTCAAGTACAAGATCTGAGTACTTCTACTTTTACTCAAGTACAAGATCTGAGTTATTATACTTTTACTCAAGTACAAGATCTGAGTACTTCTACTTTTACTCAAGTACCAGATCTGAGTACTTCTACTTTTACACAAGAACAAGATCTGAGTACTTCTACTTTTACTCAAGTACAAGATCTCCGCACCTTCGGGGACCGTGCCTTCAGTGTCGCTGCCCCCACTCTCTGGAACTCCCTCCCTGCAGAAATCCGCAACGCCCCTTCTCTCAACATTTTCAAATCAACCCTTAAAACTCATCTGTTCAACATCGCCTTCCAACAATAACTCACTCCCCCCCCCCCCCCCCCCCCCAGTTACACTTCCATTTCTGCCCCCTGTTTTATGTTTATGTTTTTTGTACGTCTTGTCCTTGTATGTTTCTTTGTAAAGTGACCTTGAGGTTATGAAAGGCGCTATATAAATTCAAGTTATTATTATTATTATCTGAATACTCCTGCCTCCTCTGGAGTGTTTGTCTTCAGTGAATGTCCTCGCTGTGTCTCTTGACGTTCAGACGAGGCTCTGCAGTGAATTGTTGCTGACGGACAGATTCCTCTCAGGATTATTCCTGTTCTGCGGTCGGGCTTCAGGCTTGTTTTGAGCTCCAGATGTTGGCCTGATGTTTCTGCAGGAGGTCGCCAGCAGAGGGCGCTGCAGCCTCAGAGCTTTTCCTCTTTTAATGACCTGCCATCTGATCCTGCTGAGGTCGCCTGGAACTCCTCTGATAAACAGGAAATGTAGACATTCAGAGTAATAATGCTGGTGTTAAACTGTAGTGAGGAATGACAAAGTAAAGACACAGTGGAGATGCATCCTCAGAGCAAATTATAAGTATTTTAGTTACATTACATTACATTGTATTTAGCTGACGCTTTTATCCAAAGCGACTTACAATACGTGCATTCGACCAGGAAGATACAAACTTGAAGAAAACATAATCATAAAAGTACATTAGGTTTCCTAGAGCCAACACATTTGCTACAAGTGCTACTCAACTGGCTTTAGATAAGCCAGTCCTTTATTAGTATATAAGTGCTTTGTTAGTATGTAAGTGCTTAGTTAGTATATGAGTGCTTAGTTAGTATATAAGTGCTTTGTTAGTATGTAAGTGCTTAATTAGTATATAAGTGCTTTGTTAGTATGTAAGTGCTTAATTAGTATATAAGTGCTTTGTTAGTATATAAGTGCTTAGTTAGTATATAAGTGCTTAGTTAGTATATAAGTGCTTTGTTAGTAATTGTATCGTTCGAAGTGGAGTCGAAAGAGATGAGTTTTCAGTTTGCGCCGGAAGATGTGCAAGCTTTCTGCTGTCCTGATGTCAATGGGGAGCTCATTCCACCATCTTGGAGCCAGGATAGCAAACCCACGTGTTTTTGCTGATGGGAACTTGGGTCCCCCTCGCAGCGAGGGCGCAGCGAGCCGTTTGGCTGATGCAGAGCGTAGTGCACGTGCTGGGGTGTACGGTTTAACCATGTCCTGGATGTAGGAAGGGCCAGATCCATTCGCAGCATGGTACGCAAGTACCAGTGTCTTGAAGTGGATTCTAGCAGTTACCGGAAGCCAGTGAAGGGAGCGGAGGAGCGGAGTGGTGTGGGAACATTTAGGAAGGTTGAAGACCAGACGAGCCGCTGCATTCTGGATGAGCTGCAGAGGTCGGATGGCACATGCAGGTAGACCAGCCAGGAGGGAGTTGCAGTAGTCTAGGCGTGAGATGACGAGAGCCTGGACCAGAACCTGAGTCGCTTTCTGGGTCAGCTGGGGACGTATCTCCTGATGTTGTAAAGTGTGTATCTGCAGCAACGGGTTGTAGCAGCGATGTTTGCAGTGAAGGACAGGTTGTTATCTAGGGTCACACCCAGATTCCTTGCAGTCTGAGTCGGGGAAACAACTGAGGTGCCGATGTTGATTGTCAGGTCAAGAGTGGGACAATCTTTTCCCGGAAGGAAAAGCAGCTCAGTCTTGTCAAGGTTAAGCTTGAGGTGGTGAGCAGACATCCACTGAGAGATGTCAGCTAGACAAGCAGAGATGCGTGCGACGACCTGGGTCTCTGAGCGGGGAAAGGACAGAATTAATTGAGTGTTGTCAGCGTAGCAGTGGTATGAAAAACCATGCGAGCTAATGGCTGATCCGAGCGAGTTTGTGTATAGAGAGAAGAGGAGGGGACCGAGAACAGAGCCCTGAGGGACCCCTGTAGTTAATTGACAAGGGTCGGACTCGGACCCTCTCCAAGTTACCCTGTAGGTGCGGTCTTTGAGGTATGAGGGGAGGAGGGAAAGTGCAGAGCCTGAAACTCCAAGTTCTTGGAGAGTGTGAAGGAAGATCATAAATAGTTTATTCTATTTGAATCATAGCGATATGAAGACCTTCTCAAAAGTGTGAAACATATTTATAAGAAGTCATTAGAAGCATCATCAACTATTATGATTTATACATGAGTTAAATCATAAAATAGGAAATAATTTGACATCTACAATTAGACACAAAAGGCAAGATTACAGGCATTTGTCAATTATGAGAGTTTGGGAATTTCTATAACATGACTTATTGTAGACTAGTGGAAAGAAAACATCCAACATATAAAGCGTTTTAGTTTATGCTACTCAGCCATATGATAGTTGCTTTATGCACATCATTTTGGCCATTTTGCTTCCATAAAACTTGCTTCTCAATTCAATTCAATTCAAAACCTTTATTTATCCAGGTAAAATCCCATTGAGATCAATGATCTCTTTTTCAAGGGAGACCTGCTTCTTTAAGACTAGTAAAGAAAAATATACGTTTTACCCATTTATGTCAATGGATTTCTCCTTAACCCTCTGGAGTCTAAGGGTATTTTCTTGATTTGTAGATGTCTCCTTAAATCACCTTTTTAAATGTACTTGTTATAACACGGCACCCCATGTGTTACATATCAAAATGTTCAAGACAGTCTGTGGTCTTGCTTGAAATGCAAGTCACTCCCCTTAGAGCACTGTGTCATGAGATATTTAGATCTAAAGCTGAACATTTGACATCTGATTGTTGGATATCTTCAAAACTCTTGTGAAAACACAGATTTAAGATAAGATAAGAAGTACTTTATTGATCCCAATTTGGGAAATTGCAGCAGCATCAAATAAAAAGACATGGCATTGTAAATTAGAGAACTTAAAAAAACTAGAAATAAATAATCCAAAATGTAAAAATCTCAAATAGAAATAAAATATCATTAAAAAAGTAGAAAATAAACATGTTGAAATGTACAGTAAACAAAAATATACAGCAGGATATTATATATACATTAAGTGTGTAAGGAATGGAATGTTAAATATTACATTGAATATACATGTAAAA